TAACAACAACAGCAAAAACAACAAGGACAAGAACAAGTAAAATAATGAAAGAAGAAGAAGAAGAAGAAGAAGAAGATGAGAAAGGACATTAAAAAGAAAAAGATGAAGATGATTAATGAGAAGACGGAAGAAAAACATGAAGTAGAAGAAGATGATGAAGATAACAAAAAGTGAGATGAAAATTAAAAAGATGAATATTTATAATAATTATTATAAGAAGAAGAAGAAAAAAGATGATGATGATGATGATGAAGGAGAAGAAGAACAACACCAACATTAAGAAGAAGAAGAAAGCTAGTTTAAACAGCACCTTTTCTCACATTTCAAAGAATATGAATTGTCCATCACTGACATAGCGCCCAACGTTCTCTCTTTTTTTTTCTCCTCTGTTCAGTCACTCAACCACCCAAAGTTTTATTATCCTGCTTCATCCTCAGGTCCAGCATAACACACATAACACATAACTCACACACGATGAGCCAGTGAAAGACCGGTGTGTAATGAGCCAGTCCTGAGAGAGGCAGAAGTGAAGCAGCCTGCACGCTGTATGACATACGGCCCGATTGTGCTGTGTGGAGTTTAGGAAGCCCCTGTGGAGCACTGGGCGAGGAGCAGCACTCAAGCGTAGGCTTTCCCCTAATCAATTTTAATAGAAGCCTTTAATGGAAGGTCTGGATGTTCGCCAATGTCGGCCTACTTCCACTAAGAACGAGGGACGGATCAGAGCCAAAGCAGCTTCGGCCTCACTGAACCTCATTCTTCAGTTCTCAGAGCACAGAACGTGAGTGAACGGGGAGCGAAGAAAGAGCATGAATATTTAACAGCAGGCTCAGCTTGTGAGATGGTTAATCTGTTAGTTTTACCCTTTATAATTCTTTTACCTAGAGAACAACAATCCAGTTAATATGATTATATGCACCATATTTGTGACTTTGAGCATGAAAAATAAGTCGTGATTGTCAGTAGAAAACAGTGCGAGAGTGCTTGTGTGGAAACAGTAGATCATTTGCGTTCAAACAAAACAATAACGCGCTGCGTTAATATGCCCATATTTGATAGTATACATGATGTAAAATGTCAGATAAATAAAATAAAATGGAAATAAAATAAAAATGAAAAACAATGAAAATAAATTTAAGTACTTACATAAAAATATTTTAAAAAGAAATAATAAATATGTAAATAAATACTTATGAAATTTCACCTTCAAAGTCTCACCTTCAAATTCTACATACAAAAGATTTTACCATACTTGTATTATTATTATTATTATTATTATTATTATTATTATTATAGATTTATAATTGTGAATACAGAAAATAGTATGTTTGTGCTGTTTGAGCCAACAGTAACGTGTAAGCTATAGTGGTCTTATATATTTTTTATATATTTTTTTATATAACGAGATTCTTTGACAATCCTTTCATTTTTCAGTTTCATTTTTAACTGGAACAATTTCATCACATGTGGACAAGAGGACAAGCAAAAGAGGGCTAATGCTGCATTCGATTTAACTTAGAACTCAGAATTATATCATTTTCGACCTCCAAGCTATAAAGTGGGGAAAACCCTGGACACCTCCATGTCCGTCTTGTGTTAGCAACAAGCTAGCCAGCTAACTGTGATGAGTGATGTATATTTACCTGTATATGTCTGTATGTAAAGCAAATGCTTGTATATACAGTATTAACTCATTTAAAAGTGAAGTGGTGCTACTTTGTTTACTGAGCAGCCATGTTGATTTGATGTCACTTCCTGAACTCGGGGCTGAGGAGTAAGAATTGACGAGAGGTTTTCTATTGCTTGTTCCAGTTGGAGGTTGGAAATTCCAAGTTATGAGTTTTAGTCAAACACAGCATTAACCCTGCACAGGAAATTTCATATTCAGCCACAGAGGATGAACCGCCTGTCACTGGGAAACGAATACAAACCACCGACAGAAGCAAAACATAATCTATTCAAAGAAAACTGGCTTCATTTCAACCCACTTATTGCATTTTTGGAGTCTTTTTCATAAAGCAGCTATCTTTCCTGAGATACTGCATGTTGGGTAACGTCCCAGCTTTGGGCAGCTTCATTTTATTTTTCATTTGGCCGCTCTCAGGAAAAGAGGAAAGAAAAATGTTGCATCATGCTCATCCTCCATGTGTGCGTGTCCTTAAGTAGACTAATAAATCTATGAATAGCCCACGGCATGTACCACTGGCACGACCAACCTGTGATCTCAAAGCACCTCTGGATGACCCTCTAAACAAAGCCAAACATGATTTCATACTGGAACACTCTCTGACACACTCACACACAAATACATAGTTATATTTCCAAATTGTGGTTGGATGATGGATTTTGTTTTGGCCAAGTTGAGCCAAATCACTCATCCAGGTCGCTATGAGTTCTTTAATAAGTCTGGATTTGAGGCAAGTGAGCAAGTGAAGTCACTGGCTCCACACTCCACACGTGTCGGAAAAAAATGCAGTAAATAAGCAGTAAATACTGCCTCGTCTCTATGTTTATTTAAAGCAACAGAGCATTTTTTTGTTAGAAATCATCATAGAGTATGTGATCGATGCAAGAGCTCAGAAGGGACTCATGCTCACTTTATATCCATTTATAGTTACATTCAATGTTATGGAACATCTACAGAACTAGTTAGTTCTTTATGTTATAGCATAAACATTGCTATAAACATTCATTCCCTCACCAGCCACTCTTTTGTTCACAATTTTAAAACTGTAGCAACTTAAATTTACAGCTTGATGCTGCAGACTCCTTCCATAAATGTTACATAAAATTCCCTATATTAACAATGATACATTTTTCTTTGCTAAATAACAAGTTCTTTTATATACTATAGAAACGAAGTCGTATTAGAACGAGGGCATTAATATGATCCTGTGACTTGCCTTGCAGCTGGAAACCCGAACCCTAACCCTACTGTCAGCTGCTGTTATGAAACATGTACGCTGTGGTATAAATTACATTTAAAACTCAGCCCACTTATTAAGCCTTATAGTCAGTCCTGGAGGTGCACTGACCTGGAATTCAAGTCCACAGCCGTCTCTGTTTGGCTCATTAACCAAACACAATGTGTGCAACACACTACCATTAATCTGCCTCCACTCTCAACAAAATACAATCGACTTCCAATAAGAGAATTACACCAGCATGCAGGCAGAAAGTGTTGTTGCTGTTGTTGTTCTTTCAGCTGCTTCCATTAGGGGTCGCCACAGCAGATCATCGGTCTGCATATTTTGATTTGGCACAGTTTTTTTTTTTTTATGCCAGATGCCCTTCCTGACACAACCCTCCCCAATTTTATCCAAGCTTGGGACCAGCACTGGGAGTGCACTGTTGTGTGCAACCCCAGTGGCTGGGGTTGGTTCCCTGGCTGGGAATCGAACCCGCGCCACAGTGATGGGAGTGCCAAGGCCTAACCACTAGTCCTCCAGGGACCCGCCATGTAGGCAAAAATTACTAGCAATTACTAGCAGATGAGTGTGATTGTGTATGCTTGACAGCACTGTACATGGCTATAAAATGGTGTAAGTTATATGATACAGTCTTATATTTAACAGCTACCATCAGCGGAGGATGGGCATGATGGGAGCTTTCAAGGTTTTGGACTTAAGGGTTTCTTATTTTGCTCACTTCGCATGTATCGTTGAATCATGCCATGCCAATCATGCCATCGTATATCATGCCATAATTCGTTGAAAGTTTGACAAACATGGTGAACAGAACTGTTTCTCTGTCTTAGGTATAAATATTAATTCAGTATCATTGCAATATTCTATACCAGCATGCCAACTTTGCTAACATAAAAATCCTACAAAGTGGTGAAGAAAAATTTACTACAAAATCGCTAGCATATGTCACTGCGCAAAACGGCTACTTTTTTTTCAACAGCAACAGTAAGAAAACAGACAAAAGTCCAGTGTGACCGCTACTTAATTATATGCAGCTCGTCCTTTTTTTTTTTAACCAACCAGAGACGATAGCCCCACCCACTTATTGGCTATTGGCTTGCAAGAATGAGGTTTGCCAAAGTTCTCCTAGCAGACCAGCATAGTTTTCAAAAATCATAAACGCTACAGCTAATCCATAAATGTTGGCACCTCATAACTGTAAATATCCATCACGAATGAAGGTTTGACACAAAGCAAGCAGACTGTAGGAGATAATAATCAACTGAAGGATCTCAAACGCCCTCTCAGTCTGCCTCTGCTTTCTTAAAGTAACTAAATTTACACTAAATCAAATATCTTCTGGCATCTTTTCAAAGATGTGCTCTTATTGCAGAGACAGAGATCAGCCTGAGGTTAGTCTAATGTGGAGGATTTCACATTTCGGAGCTACTGGTGGGCTGAGCTATTAATGTCAAAAGCAATATAATATCTACACAAGGTATATTTATGGAGCTTGGAAGCTGACAAAAGTCTTTGAGTATGAATTTCTTATATTTGCATTACAGACACATCACATTAAGTAAGATCAAATGACGGGATATGGTTTTGAGATTTGAACAAAAAAAAAAATCACGTCCACCATTTCTCCCCCGTACGGGTTCAGTGTGTCTCTCTTACAAACACACGTCGTGTACTGACAGCGCTGGTGTGTCAGGGTGCGGGGGATGTTGTTGGTCTGTCAGTGGTGAACCATCTCAGGTCAAGAGTTTAGCTCCGTCAGGATAACAGCAGGAAGAGAGCTGACAGATATAACAGGGTGTTGGAAATACGCCAATTGAGGAAGTTTCCGGAAAAACAGACTATGAGAATGAGGGATATAACAGGTTAAACGCATGCTAATAAAGCCTCAAAGAATGTAACCCTACTTCTAGTTTCTAATAGTGCTAGGCTTTGTACTAGCTTCGTTTGCAGTAAAGTGTGCTAGCTATGTACAGTACACTCATCCGATACTCCAATGAGCTCTGCTACTTCCCTTTTTTTAATAAACATGGCTAAGAATCACCTTCTTTTACAGGAAGATGATGTTTGACTAACATAGCAAACAGCCAGTACTCAGTGTCAGTACTCAGAGGTTTGCTTTCCTGTTGGAAGCTGGAACACATGGACATGCACACACATGGACATGCCAAGAGCCAATCAGATTGCAACCTTTAAGATCCTGAAGCTTGTGGCCAGATAAGTGTACAAAACATACCAGACGCTCCATGAGCACCTGATACTGAGACTATTGTAATTCTAACCCATTCTCACTTTCCCCTTGCTCCCCTTTCCTACCTTGCTCTGTCCCTCTCTCTCATCCTTTCCTCTGTCTCTCACTGTGTGTGAGGTCTCCATTCCCATCTGCTGCACATTACCACATGAGGTTCCTCTGTCACTTCCATTAAGTCTGAATTGTTTCAGGTCATTTTTTTACTGACAAGCATCGGCCATTTGGAGTCAGCTGAATCTCTCTGCGGTCACCACGTTTTTTTCTATTGCACTCCCGTGGCTATTATACAAGGATCAGTTATGATCAGGAGTGGACAAAGTACAGAAAAAACTGTACTTAATTAAAAGTTAAATCTTACTTAATTTAGAAATATGGAGAAAAATCTACTTAAGTGAAAGTCAAAATTATTTATATTTAAACACAGTTCAGTGTTTAAGAGGACTGATGAAAAGAGCTGACCAGTTCATCATCCCAGGTCCTGCATGACTAGCTAATTAGCTAAGCTATCAGTCATATGGAAAATATTCTGGATAGCTAATGTTGAATAACCTTTTGAATGAACGTTAAGGCACATTATCAGCAAAAACAAAACATAAGTAACTACTGAATTTAACAAGTAATATACAAAACTTAACTGGCTAGTTTACCAACCTTATAGTTAATTTGCTGTTTAGCTCATATTTAATGTTTAATAAACACTCATTATCTACAAAAACAAAACTCTTAAATATCTAATTATACAAGATAATATACAAAAACTAGCTTGCTAATTTAACAAACTAATGTAGAAAACCTAACTAGCTTGCTAATTTAGCTACCTAAATTACAAAACGTAACTAGCTGATTTACCAAAGTCATTGTTAACTTGCTGTTTAGCTAATGTTTAATGTTTAATAAACCCTTATCATCAACAAAAACAAAACGTAACAATCTAATTAGACAAACGAATATACAAAAATTAACTAGCTTGCTAATTTAACAAACTAATGTAAAAAACCTGACTAGCTCACTAATTTAACTAGCTAAATTACAAAACTTAACTAGCTAATTTACCAAACTTATAGTTAACTTGCTGGTTAGCTAATGTTTAATGTTTAATAACCCATTAAAGGAATATTAAGGCACATTATCAACAAAAACAAAACATAACTATCTATAGCTAAATTGCAAAACTTAAAGAAGTAGAAAAATCAAATGGAATTTGAGATTTGTAACGTATTTTAAAGGTCAAAATGAAACCGCAAGGAGTAAAATATGTTTTTTGTCTTGGAAATTTACTTGAGTAAGAGAACAAGTATTCAATTTCAATAATACTTGAGTATAGTACAAATCTTTGAAACAATATAATTATAATATAATAGTATAATTACTCCACCAATTCCACTTCTGGTCACAATACACGGTTTGAGGCCATGTTAGACTTCTACATCCACATCTGATCTTAACTGGACTTGTGAAATGTGTAAGGAATAAAACTGTATTGTTATAGGAAAATAATCAGGGACATGAAGACTCCCTCCATAAAGGTTAAATAAACAGCGTACAGAAAACTCCACCGTATCAATGATTATATGTTTTCTTCACTGTTAAATAACAGCCCATTTTAATCCGTTTAATATTAGACTTAGATTATATAGATCATACGCCATACAAATCCCTGCGATCTTTCATCTCTTCACTCTGTTCACACGTAACATGGAGTCAATCCATTTATTTAGGTCTGTGCTTAAAATACCATTGTAAAAGATCACACTGCGCAATATGGAGTGTATACGCTGCTTCTGACATCTGGAGTTATTACAGGAGAACAAAGTGACTTTCCAAATAGCACGACGCAGCAGAAAAACAAACGGCTCAGCAACATCTGCTGAAGAACAAAAAATGAAAAAAAAAAAAAGGTTTGAATATGACAAGCCCATATTTCTTTACTACAGAAAGCTCTCCAGCCTCTGTATCATATTCACACGAATATCTTCAGGGGTACTGAGCTGTTATCCTGGGCCAGATACACATATGACACGCTCATGTTCACACACACACACACACACACACCATATGTTCACATGGCAGGTACGATTAGTTCACGAATACCATCAGCAACATAACTGAGCTCAGCATTTCGTAACTGATTTATGTGGAGTTTGGGCATCTTTTGCTCTCCAGCTGTTCTGCGTCCCGTGAGACGAGCGAATCAAAGAGGAAAGGAGAGCTCATAAATCCTGGATATAAGCAGCCACTGCTGGAACATTCAATGTTATTGTTAAAAAAAGAAAAACTTCAGTTTCATTAATCTTTATGTTAAGGCTTGGGGGAAAAAAGTACAAAACAGAAGCATTCTTATATTCTAGGGGTCTGAGGATATGATGCGCATCTTGATACATGATCAACAATCAGATGTAAGAGATGATTAAAGCAGGAACAAACAAAAAATCTCCCAGGAGTGGAAGGCCACACCTCCTGCACTGGGAAACAGAGGCCACGCCTCCTACACTGGGACACAGAGGCCACACCTCTTCACAGGGACCGATACAGAGGCCACACCTCTTCAGAGGGACCAATACAGAGGCCACACCTCTTCACAGGGACCAATACAGAGGCCACACCTCTTCACAGGGACCAATACAGAGGCGCATCCTTCACTGAAATTGACAGATACATAGGCCACACCTCCTGCACTGGCACTAACACAGAGGCCACACCTTCTCCTTCAGTGGGACTGACACATACAGTGGCCACACCTTCTTCACTGAGACTGATAGGCACAGAGGCCACGCCCCTTTCACTGAGATTGAGACAAACCCTACACCTTCTTCCCTGAGAATGATAGGCACAGAGGCCACACCTCCTTCACTAGGCCTGACAGACACAGTGGCCACGCCCTCTTCACTGGGAATAGCACAGAGGCCACACCTCCTTCACTGACAATAATAAGCACAGAGGCCGCACCTTCTTCAAGAGATCTGATGGCACAGAGGCCACACCTATTTCACTGATACTGACACAGCAGCCACACCTCCTTCACTGGGACTCACAGCACATAGGCCACACCCCTGTTTTGAATCAGTGCAGGCATATAATAACTACTGAGGCTGGTTATTTGTTTTTACAACATATTAACCTTATGAAAAAGCACAGAAAAGGGAGGCATACTACAAGTTTAATAATTTACATGAATACGTATCTTTCCTGGCTTATATCGTCTTTCCAACATATTGAGTTTGTCTGGTTAAAAAAATGGAGTTTCCAAAATTGTTTGGATTGTGAATTTTCCCAGATC